GTTCTACGTTGCGAGTGGCGTCTGCTCTGATCTGCTCGCCTGCTCGACGCGCTATATCAGTGGTGATCGTCTGGCCAAAGTGATTAGGAGAGACATCATAGGGATGGAAAAATGGCAACGGAAGCCGGAAATAGTCGAATCTGCGCCTGAATAGTGGAGCAGTCCTCCCAAGATGTCGTTTGCCATCTAGGAACCTAGCATCAGGAGGAAGTGACTTCGGAGAGAGGCTTAGCATGACACCAAGAAGGCTTTAAGGCATAGCCCGCCTCGATACGAACGGCGATCAGATATATGATATGTGCACTAGTAGGAATAGAAGAGACATGTAGAGAGCTATGAGGCAGTCAACTGCACCCCCGGGGCAAGGAGAATATCTATTGAGAGTACCTAGAGCTGGCTACAAAGTTACCTAGCTGTACAAGCGCAGAAGGGTCTGACAGAGTAGGACCCACGCATTAGCTTATCTGATACACGTAATCACGCAGGATTATGCCTAATGGCAGTACCATAAACAGTATTCATTGAGAGACAATTTCAAAATCACATAAGAATGGGAGCATCTAGTACGAGCCCGGAGCGGGAAAGGGAACAGGGTTAGAGAACATGACCAAATAATGTCCGTTGCACGCGTATTTCTACGACGCATGGAAGAGATAAAATAAAAAAAAAACAAAAACTGGTGTCGAATTTGACTTCCGCTGGAAAATCCAAGTACACGCCGAGCTAAGCTGATGTAGCTGGGGTCGTTTTGGGCTATGAGAGCCGAACTATTCTCTCTAGGTATGAATTAGTCTTTCGCTGGAACATTAGCTTCTATCGTTTTGAACCTCCTAGTCAACCGAGAGCCGAATATAAAGTAATCGGACATCTCCTGCCAGTAGAGCAAAGCTTGTAGAAGTACTTTTATTCTATGGTATGTAGGCGCCTGTGTCTCCGATAGGCCGAACAATGACAGGGAAGGTACCTTATCCGTAAATATTTGGCTGAGTCAACTGGCTTGATCCTACCCATAGCAGGTGAGCGAGGAGAAAGCATGCGCTCACGATTGTATCAATGTCACTGACACACTGTCGAACTATAAGTATCTAAGTTGATTGTATCCAAGTTCCTCTCCAGAACGAGTATGCGACTAGAGCTTCATCGCGCGCGAACTGCCCAGCTGCTAAACTGCCGGTTGCTATCCATTGAGGCGCGGGACGTTCGATATATTCTTCCTTTCTATTTGTGGTTTATCCTCTGCTAGGAGCCTCAGCCTACGAAGCGTCCCGCAGATGCAGAGAAGAGGTATTGTGTCCTTGATTCTGATTATATATTGTTTCTTATTTGCCGATCTTGCGAGCGGCCAGTTCTACTGAATAGGTGAAACTGTTGTCCAACAGGTCCTGCCGAGAAAATTTAAGTCTGACCTTTTCGATCACAATCCACTATTAAAGAACGCACCAACTAAGTGAATGAGTGCACTGACTCGACGATTTTTGGAGTATACATTAAACTCCACTCCAACAAGGACAAGGTCTATGGTGATTGACGGTGGACTGAAGAGAGTGAACATCTGACATCGCAAGATAAGGCGAGATCCACCATCATACTCGTCTCGCAGACGATCACCTATCATTCACCCAGTTATAGTTTACTAGCAATGTGTTAAAGTAGATCGCTTCGCCTGCAGGAAATTTCCGTAACACTATTTGTTTAGTAGCTCGAAGACACCAAATCTCGTGAAACACAAATGGACTCTGATGCAGCTGCACAGATAAACAATTGGTCGGACCTGCAGAAGAGATAAATTGATGTTGACCACTAAATTCAGTCGAGTTTGTTTCTCCCACTCACATTAACAGTTGTCTGCGTCACCGGTGCAGACCACTCTCACATAAGACCCACGTGTCTGTCGATTAATACACCGCACCTCCAAGCATTAGGAACATTAGTTAGTGTCCGAGAGATGCGTCATGCACGACAGTTTGTCGAGACTGACATTTTTCGGCACAAGGCCGAGTGAGCATTAGTCTAATTCAAAAATTTGATACGCGAGAGACTGTACCAGAACTGAAAGATGTATCATACAATGCTATGCACTCATTCAGCCCAAATACATAGATCTATTAATCATGTAAGATACGAAAACCAAATGATCGTTTGTACACAAAATGTTCACTCTTATAAATCATAGAACTGATTCACAAAAAATTCCCAAGAAATTAATCACGTCTCATCGACAATAATCCTTATACACTCGTCATGTACCGTAGATTAGACTAATGCATGTTTTAATTTCTATAATACTCTACTGAGTCTCACGCACCACCTTCACGCTTGACCTCTTCATGCTGCGTCACACCGGCCGGTCCATCTTTGTCGCGCACCATATGTCCAACACTCTGCGAACCATACGTACTGATCCGTGGACCGGTCTCGTATGAAATTAAGGCGATATCTCAAAAGCACATAGCAAGTAAGAGAGCCCAAACACCCTTATGTTCGGGTAGGGTTTCCCTGTCCTATTTTGTCAGGAGCTAGGGTTCCACTATGCACGTTAGCAGTTTCAAAACAACTTTAGCATCGTAAGCAACCTGTCCTAGTTTGAGATGATCACTATAGATTCCGAATATGCACTAGGGTCGAATGCGTCAAAAAGGTGGCCGCCGGTAAAACCGGGAGTTTGTTTCCCATGCTGTCAGAGCCCATAACCGGCACCTTATGCGTCATTCCTTGACAAGACATGCCTCCGGCAAACCACAGGAATGGCAGATGGCAAACACTGTGTTCCTAGGCGCACCAATTGCACATGCAACGCAAGACACACAAATTGGAAATCAAAACAGGATATCACGAAGTTCAAGTCAAGCTCTCTAAAATCCCCAGCAGAGTCGCCAGACACTGTAACATAGTCCACAAGGGACCCCCGCTACCAATTCGGACTCGATTCGTGCGACGGTTCTTAAATCTAGTGAACCAAAGAGTCCAAATCTGGCAAATCGTTTTGAGAAAACAGATTTTAGGAAAGAAGTGCCAAACATGGACTGCTTTGCCAGATACAGAGTCGCCACCTAAATATTTTTTATGGGGGAATTTAGGAAACCCTGACTCGGTACCGAAGGCCACATGTCCGTCATCATCGGAGTTGTCTCGGCTCGGGAGCTTGGGTACGATCGGGGAACGTCAGCTATGAGCACCCCCTCTCGCCCGATCCGAAGATCGACCTTTACTAACCGTGATATCCATTTTTGAAAACTTTATGTGTTCTTATTCCATTTATTAGCCTAGAATTACTATGTTTTGCGCACAGCAAACAAGTATAGACTAGATTGCCTAATTTGGAAACAAGCATTGCATATCCGTTTGCTTTGAAGAGCGCTTTGGAATTTGCTACTCGCAAGTAGGCTAAAACACGAATTTCAACGAGTTTTTTCAACTCAAACAATCCAACCTTCACCCACGGGCATTCAAACAATAATATCACGTAAGCATTTAGCCACATGGCAAACATACTGTCATGGTAACATTCACACGCATGCGAGATGCTAAAGCATAAATACTTACATCGTACTCCGTGCCGAAAACAGGAACACGTTGGCGATCAATGCATGATCCAAGTCCATTTTAAATACCTAATGCATCGCATACAAAATGTCACTAGAGTAGGCTCGGCTAGTCTATGAATGACATGTGAAAATGCACAACTAACATGTATTCAATTCGAAATTTGAAATACAGATGTAGTTAGAATGATGCGCCGAGCCCGGTGCATGCAAAGCAAATGTATGAATGCACGCATGCATTGCATAAGGTATGCTAATTTTTAAATATGCCCTAGTCTACCATCATAAGCAGGTAAATAAAAGGGAAGAAAGAAGTGGGGATTGGAAGACATATACACCACTCACACACACTTATTACAGATTTGCCCTCGCGCGGAGGGACCAAATAAATAATACAAATTAATTAACCACACAAGCTGATTAAATATTACAAATTTCCTAATTAATTAACAAGTTAACTAAGCTAGGAAAAGCAGTAAACCGCCTCGGGAGGAGAGCCAGATGCAGCGCGTGCTCAGGTCTTGCTCGGAAGCGCACCGCCATGCATAGTCTGCCTCTGTTTTCCCTGCTCTGCCTCTCTGAAGACTGCCAAAGTCTCAAGGATGCCTCTCTAGACACTACAACAAAATGGTACTTTAATGACAAAATCACTTCGTCTCCAATAGTGAAATTTTCGTCACCAAATTGATCCGTGACGAAATAATTTCGTCACCACGTTCGTCATCAATTCGTCGTCACTAAAAGTACCCGGTGACGAAAATTTATTTTGTCACCTATTATTGGTATTTGGTAACGAAATATTTCGTCACTAAATGTTAAATATTTTGTCACCTATAACATCCATTTCGTCACCAAAATTAAATAAAATTTTATTATATTTATTTTGGGTGACAAAATATTTCGTCATTAAAAATAGTAATAAAATTTTTAGTGACAAAAATATCGTCACCAAAAAATGGAAAAAAAAGACCCTTTAGTGACGAAAACTTTTTGTCAACAAATATTTTAATTTAGTGATGAAATAGTGAATGTGTGACGAAATTATTTGTTGGGATTAGAAAGTTTTAACGTCAATTTTTTTTCGTCGCCAATAATAAATAAATTTTAAAAATTGAGAGGGTTATATTTGCAATTTATATATTTTTTTCAATAAACAATACTTGTATATTTTAATAATCTATTAAATAAAATATCTAATACAAATCAATATAAAATTAAACTGTTCATTATCATAAAACAACCCAAGCAAAATACATGTCTCATAGTATCAAGAAATTAATATATAACATCCAAACTATAACATCTATTTTAGTAAAATCAAAAACTACAACACAATCAAAATAACATGTGCATTTTAATAACCTGCTGAGTATAATATCCATTACAAATCATTACAAAAACCTGTTCATTTGGTAATATCAACAAAAACCTGTTCATTTTAATCTATTCAATAAAATATCAACAAAAAGATAAGATCCATCACAATATAATCATAACCCACAACAACATAGTCAAAATACATGTTTGGTAATATCAACAAAAAGTACAACTACACTATGATGGATGTGTCTGGTAATATCAACAAAAAACTCTTGCTATGCAGGTTATCAAATTCGTTCATCTCCAATCTGCCATTTAAAAAAGAAAAAATAAAAAAAAGACAACAACAACAACAAAAGGTTAAGATAACCATTCACTAAATATGTTAATATGCAACCTAGAAGAGAAAAAATAAAAATTTCGAAGTAAATTTTAAACCAAATTTTTACCGTCCTTGTTCTGTAAATTTTTACAACTTACATTAGTTCCTCCCAAGGTGTTCATGATATTTCTTGGCCTTTTAACGACTATTTCAAGATTTTACTCCCTAACAGCCTATTTCCAAGCCTAAATGTTTTCCAACCGAGAGTCCTATGATTGTTCTGTAAGTTTTCACAACTTATGTTGATTCCTCCCAAAGTGTTCATGATAATTTCTGATAATCTCAAGGTGTTTGTGATGTTTTTCGGGCCTCTAGATGCATACTTCACTATTTTCCCGGGACCTTGTGCCTAAATGTCAAAAGTAGTTTTTTATTCTACCCTAGTTAAAGAAGAAATGTTCTACTAAATTAACATATAAACATAATATACTAACCAAGAAGCTTGTCCATCAGAATCTGAACTTTCCCCACTCTCAAAATTTCCCGTGATACATTTCTGCGTCAAACACTCTATGATACTTTGTATCTTCTTGCCTTGTTTCTTCTCTGACTTTTGAAACCTTGCAGTTTGTTCATTTTGCTGTGCTATTTGCATCTCAAGGCGTTGAACATAGTCACTATTTTCAGTAGGTGCAACAATAGTCTTCATAGAAGAAGAAGGCCTCAAGCCGAGTCCTTTCACATAACCTGACCTTGGCTTAAGCACCTTAACTGACAACTCCTCTTGGCTTAAAGGGATCACACCAATCTGCAAAAGGTGTTCGGCTTGCGTCTTTATCATGTTGTCCTGTTAATTTAAAATAAATTGAACAATTATTAGTTATTCTACCCTACAAAGCAAATAAATAATTTAATCAAAATTAATATGCATTGCCTTGTACATACATAATTAGCTTGGCTCTCCGACAAAATCCATTCATGTGTGTTCGAATTATAGTGGATGGACTTGTAAAACTTTGCCAAATCAGAAACTTCTCCATTTGCAATTATCTGATTCATTTGTTTTTTAATGTTATTTCAAATATTTAAATAACAAAGCCTACTAATCTGATAAAATAAAATAGCAGAACACACCGAGCTGTGCACCCTAACCGGGATTGATTTTGATCCACATCTATGTTTTGTTTTCATTTGCATCCTATTATTCACATTAGTTAGTGATTGTTCCTACACGATTGAAACACCAATAAAAACAACAAAACTTAACATTAGTAAGAAGAAAATTAATTTTTGACAATTAACATAAAACATTATACCATGAATTCTTTACTATTCCACTTCTTGTCAATTAGAGATGTCCATTGATTAAGAGTAACACTTGTAGGTGGGTGGCTTCTCGCGTACTCCTCCCCTCTTGCATCCTTAAGTTGCTTGTATTGTTTGTGCAATCTATAGGTGAAGCTACTCAATCGCCGACCAAACTGTGTGTTTAAAGTCCTTACTACATCACTCGGATTTCCTTGTAGATCAAACTGATCCTACAAAATCAAATCATTTTTTTTATAAGTTAAATAACCTAAATTTCAGACAAGCAACAATAAGCCTGACTAAACAACAAAGAAAAAAAGATTGCATCAACAGATGTGTTAACAGATGTGTTAACAGTTGCAATTTAATTCCTAGATATGCAGGCATTATATGTTGTAACAGTTGCAACAGATGTGTTAACAGATGAATATGTTGTTCATGTTTTTCTAGACAGTCTACAGGAACCTAAAAATTCAATGTCAAGCTTGGACATGAAATGTCCTACATGTCTTTCTAGGCATTATATATTGTAATGAAAAACATTAACAGTAAGAATATGTGAATCATAAGTGTATACTATTGTAAATATTGCTTTTTACTGTGAAGATATTGCCAAGACCTTCCTAGTGCACTCAAGTAATGAGCTGACAATTGCTATCTAATTATGATACTTGTTCTAAAGTTTATCAAGTTTCTAATAATTTATTTGTAATAAAAAGATTGATATTCAAGTGTATCTGCAGGGAAGGCCTTGAAGTCACTGATGATGTATCTATTGTGGAGCACCTCAAACATCCTGTATACATAACTGAAGGATCTTACACCAACATCAAGGTCAAACAGGTTGCAAGTAAACAAATATTCTTGATTTCCTAGTTTTTCACTTGTTTTGCAACTTTTTAACAGCTTAGAATCATAATCGTGTATTGCTTTCAATCTGATTATCAAACCTGAGGTTCTAATACCAGAGAGCAATTTTCTTATTTAAAAAAATAATATCAATCTTGGTAAAATGCAGCAGTCTTATCAGTTGACAGAAAATAAGGTTGCCTACTACATCACACAACTCATCAAGTGAAAAGTGGCCCATCAAACATGCTAGAGTTACTGCCCCTGTTTTAGCTAATTCATCTGTTTCTGAATTGGACAATTCAGGCACCCTTGATTCAGCTAACCAAGGATCTCTGCCTCCTTCCTCCATCTATTCTAATTAAATCAAATACCCTCTGCTGTCTGTCACCTTCCTAAAGCCAATATAATGACCTCCATCTATTCATAGCTATTGTTTCCATGATTTGATTAGTACTAGCAAGAATACTTCCCTATTTATTTGTTGGCATCACTAGTTATATTAGTGTTTACTAATATATGCATCACTAGTCAAATTTTTAGATTTTCTATTGTGTTTCACTACGCAAGGATACAAACTGAATACATAGTTATAGTTGCATTATTTTACATTTTAGAGTGTTTATGTACTTGTGTAATTGATGTATGTGTCATGTATCATATCCACAGTTATAAATTTATCGCCAAAATGTAAAAAACCCCTATGCTACACCATTTTTCTCTAATCCTTTCCATCTATGACCTCAATTTCAGTTTCAAAAAGTATAGAAGGCAATAATTACCTTCTATATTTCAGTTTCAATTTCTATGCAATAATTACCATGTAATTTCAGTTTCAATTTCAATTTTCATGTGTCATGCCTCTTTTACTTGACAATAATTACCTCCAAGCGTTGGATCATCGGCTTCTTATCAGCATCGTGAACCTTATTCCACCTACAAATGCTCAAGTCTGGTAATTGCGTTCGAACCTCTATGCCAATCTTGGAGGCCAACTTAGAGGCTTGATCTCCCACTGGCGCACGGAAATGTTCAGGTACAGGAACCAACATCTTTCCATTTTTCTGGACAATGCGTTGGGTTTGTATGCCGCGTGTTGGACCACGACCACGTCTGTCATGTGATGCTGTAAGGACATAATGTTAATTGTGTTAATAAGTAAACAAATGCAAGTTAGACCTTAAATTAAATATAAACAACTTTGCAAACTTACCAACACTACTAGATGCAGTCACCTCATGCACAGGTTGCACATTATCAGGTGGTAAGGATTGGGTACCAATCTCTTGACCTGGGGGATCCATCACTTCTTCTGGGGTGGGAGTTAATGGCCTCGAATGAGGCTGTAAACGTAACCCTGGTGGCATCTCTTGTTCCTGAAATATCATAATCGAATAGTAAATAAGATATTTAACACAGTTAAAATATATTTTAAAAAAAAGATATGATATTTAAGATATATGAATAAGATATTTAAATAGTAAAAGATATGTTCACACACAAATATAAAATAATGTATATAATACCTTGCGATAAAAGGAACCCAGTGACTCATTATCACTATCGTTCTCACTCTCTGACGGATTATACTCATCATCATCATCTACCTCAACCCTAATTCCCTTTTCCTTTGCATTTGCACATTTGGGCTAAACCACACTCATCAAAGAATTTGTAATATTCTTCACTCCAAGATTGTTCATTACCTCATAGTTCTTCTTGATTCGCTTATTTCTTTGCTTCTCATATTCTGTTAGCTTCTTAGTTCTCAAATCACCTGGTTTCAGCCATTGTCTTTTTCCTTTGTCCATTTTCTACAACTATATAACATAATTCAACTTTAATTGGAAAATATTGACAATATAATTATTCACCATTAAATAAAAGAAGAAAAACATAATCCCAAAATATCCAAAACACCTTAATTGAAAGGTACTTTACGTAAACTTGTCATACCAAAATAGATCAAATGTTTCTAGCAAACTTGTCGCCAAACCATAATCCAAAAGGTACAAAATATAAACTTGGCACGTGACAAAAGTACTCAAAAACATTACTCATCATGTGAACCATGTATTTTTGGAAAGCAACATCGTGATAATTTTATAGTTCAATTTGTATGAGCTCAAAATCTGTGATGTGTATTGCCACTTAAACCTTTGACAGTCTAACATCCAAATTAGATTTATAAGATTGCAATAGACTTTGATTTACCACGAGTAAAATGCAGTTAAATATGGTACCCAAATGGAGCATTTAAGTAAGGAAAGAAATGCGAAAAGAAAAAAGACGAATGTAATAGTTATATATGTTAGGAAAAGTTGTTAGATTTATGGTCCAAAAGGGGAAATTTTTTTTTGCAAATAATCACATTTTTCTTGTTTATCTATTTCTACTCCATATACAATAAACAAAAATTACACCAAAAAATTCTAACATAAAATTTTAAAGTAAATTAATAAAAAAAAAAATAATTCCATAAAATACATTAAATTGGACCACAAGTTGATGCTTGCTTGTGCTTCCCACTTTCTTCCTTTAGCTCTTGTAAAGATAAAGAAATGATAAAAGGGTGAGAGAAGGGCACAAAGGAGTTAGGGATTTTTGGAAGGTTGCTCTCTCAAAACCCAAAGTGTTGCACATGGGACAAAGGTGTCTATCTATTCCATTTCCTCTTTGATGTTTTTTGCTTTCAGAATTTTCAGGGCAGTGGATTTGCCTTGATTGTCCCAACAGTAGACTCCCCACACTAGGGCACTTCCCCCTAATCTTGTCCTAATAGTCTGAAGACATGTTGGGGCCATTTGCTCCTCAATGGTCCTCTAATCTCTCACTATGTGTTTAGTTGGGTTTTGTAGTGCATCTCTTCCATTGAGATAATTTAAAATGTTTGTTTTATGCTATAATAATTTGTGAAAGTTTGTTAAAGAGACACCAAGGTTATATGAAATCCCATTGATTGGATGAATATTCATTCCACTACCAAAAGGGAAGATGAGAGTTTGCTAAAATACAATGAAGGCATGGCAAAAGGGGGGTCAACTCATCCATAATGATCTTCATGAAGCTGTCACACCACTTTACAAAATTTTCAAAATTACAAGTCTATATACACAAATAGGAAGGAGAAGGGAAGACTTTACTCCATGCCACACCCTTCCCTTGTCTTACTTTATTCATATATAGTAAATGCTATTTTGATATCAAAAATATATATGTTTAGTGAATGTTATTTTGATAAGCAATCTTATCTATTAGACCACTCTCCCACCCCAGACCGCCTTGTCTATTTCATCATATTTGATATAAGCTTTTACAGATTTTTGTAATAGTGTGTTTGTAAGGGAATTTTGAAGAATTCAAATGTCCTTAATTCAGTTGGTCTGGTAGCATTTCCAATCAATCAGTAAGTTATTTGGATAACACTTTGCGTATTGAAGAGAGTTGTTCATGATCCTTATTTTTCTATCTTAGTACATATCAATGCTAAGTTTAATATTGAAAATGCAAGATTTTTTGGGCAAAGAAAAGAAAAAAGAGGTGCATTATATGGACTACATAGAATAGGAGATTTTTTTTTTTTTTAAAAGATCATTTATATGATCCATCAATACTAAATATATATTTATCACGGTATAATTGGGTATAATTGGGATGGAACCGGATTACCATTCCCTAACATTGTCTAATTACTTTCAAGTTTTTCATTTCATTTTCATCTAAATGCCCATCCTACCTTAAAAAACTCTCAAATCATTTCCATTAGGGTCGGGACGGTTAGTGGCCTGGTGAGTCAGTTTTCATTTGGTTATCCCAATACAAACAAAATTAAATTGCAGAACCAATATTTTTTATTTTTTTTTTGGAACTCAAATTGCGTAACCAACATGGTACTCAAATTCTTGCAAATAGGCTTTATAACTTGCAAAGAAATATGTATACATGATTGGTTCTATGTTTACATATCTCTAAGACCATCTTTAGTAGTGTAGAATAATAATGTCAACTTTTTACATGTCGCAAATGCAAAATACAATATATATGAAAATAAACAATTATATGTAGACTGAAATATAACACACTTCATAATCTGTGAATGTTCACATCGATTGACTAATGACGAATTTGAATTGTTATATTTTTTCAAGTATATATCAATTTACATTTCTTAATTATTTTTCAAATGCATTTTTGTTTATATTCACCTAATTAACTTAAATATGTGCATTCTGATCAGTTGGTCTGATAGTTTAGCTGGTGACCTATCCACCCAGTCACCTCACCATCCTATGCGGATTCTCCTGCACAGTAAGGTGTTCATGATATTTCTTGGCTTTTTAACGACTATTTCAAGATTTTACTCCCTAACGGCCTATTTTCAAGCCTAAATGTTTTCCAACCGAGAGTCCTATGATTGTTCTGTAAGTTTTCACAACTTATGTTGATTCCTCCCAAAGTGTTTGTGATAATTTCTGATAATCTCAAGGTGTTTGTGATGTTTTTCGGGCCTTTAGATGCATACTTCACTATTTTCCCGGGACCTTGTGCCTAAATGCCAAAAGTAGTTTTTATTCTACCCTAGTTAAAGAAGAAATGTTCTACTAAATTAACATATAAACATAATATACTAACCAAGAAGCTTGTTCATCAGAATCTGAACTTTCCCCATTCTCAAAATTTCCCGTGATACCTTTCTGCGTCAAACACTCTATGATACTTTGTATCTTCTTGCTTTGTTTCTTCTCTGACTTTTGAAACCTTGCTATTTGTTCATTTTGCTGTGCTATTTGCATCTCAAGGCGTTGAACATAGTCACTATTTTCAGCAGGTACAACAGTAGTCTTCATAGAAGAAGAAGGCCTCAAGCCGAGTCCTTTCACATAACCTGACCTTGGCTTAAGTACCTTAACTGACAACTCCTCTTGGCTTAAAGGGATCACACCAGTCTGCGAGAGGTGTTCGGCTTGCGTCTTTATCATGTTGTCCTGTTAATTTAAAATAAATCGAACAATTATTAGTTATTCTACCCTACAAAGCAAATAAATAATTTTATCAAAATTAATATGCATTGCCTTGTACATACATAATTAGCTTGGCTCTCCGACGAAATCCATTCATGTGTGTTCGAATTATAGTGGATGGACTTGTAAAACTTTGCCAAATCAGGAACTTCTCCATTTGCAATTATCTGATTCATTTGTTTTTGAATGTTATTTCAAATATTTAAATAACAAAGCCTACTAATCTGATAAAATAAAATAGCAGAACACACCGAGCTGTGCACCCTAACCGGGATTGATTTTGATCCACATCTATGTTTTGTTTTCATTTGCATCCTATTATTCACATTAGTTAGTGATTGTTCCTACACGATTGAAACACCAATAAAAACAACAAAACTTAACATTAGTAAGAAGAAAATTAATTTTTGACAATTAACATAAAACATTATACCATGAATTCTTTACTATTCCACTTCTTGTCAATTAGAGATGTCCATTGATTAAGAGTAACACTTGTAGGTGGGTGGCTTCCCGCGTACTCCTCCCCTCTTGCATCCTTAAGTTGCTTGTATTGTTTGTGCAACCTATAGGTGAAGCTACTCAATCGCCGACCAAACTGCGTGTTTAAAGTCCTTGCTACATCACTCGGATTGCCTTGTAGATCAAACTGATCCTACAAAATCAAATCATTTTTTTTTATAAGTTAAATAACCTAAATTTCAGACAAGCAGCAATGAGCCTGACTAAACAACAAAGAAAAAAAGATTGCATCAACAGATGTGTTAACAGATGTGTTAACAGTTGCAATTTAATTCCTAGAAGTCTTTGATATGCTACCATGTAATATCTTGTTTAGCAGCAAGTTCTTATAATCACCCTAACAAAGAGAGTAGTTCTTTCACACAAGAAGCAAAAACTTGAGCATAACCGAGCAACAAACTGAATTAAACCCCTATGTTACACCATTTTTCTCTAATCCTTTCCATCTATGACCTCAATTTCAGTTTCAAAAAGTATAGAAGGCAATAATTACCTTCTATATTTCAGTTTCAATTTCTATGCAATAATTACCATGTAATTTCAGTTTCAATTTCAATTTTCATGTGTCATGCCTCTTTTACTTGACAATAATTACCTCAAAGCGTTGGATCATTGGCTTCTTATCAGCATCGTGAACCTTCTTCCACCTACAAATGCTAAAGTCTGGTAATTGCGTTCGAACCTCTATGCCAATCTTGGAGGCCAACTTAGACGCTTGATCTCCTACTGGCGCACAGAACTGTTCAGGTAATGTCTGTTGTAAAGGTGTGAAGCGGAATTTTCTTTACCAATCCAATACCAAACTGAATCAATAAGTGAACTGGATAAATTCCATAAAAGAAATACTTTGTACGAGTGTCATACCTAATTCAATAATGTCAGTAAGCACTCAAAACAATGCCATATTGCATTTATTTTTTCAGGGTTCACTATACTTTGAGAAAACACTTCCTCTAATCAATTTGTTGGATGCTGCCACTGCTCATATGCTTAAAATTCCCAGAGAGCAATTTTCTTATTTAAAAAAAAGCTACTCAATCTTGGTAAAATGCAGCAGTCTTATCAGTTGACAGAAAATGAGGTTGCCTACTACATCACACAACTCATCAAGTGAAAAATGGCCCATCAAACATGCTAGAGTTACTGCCCCTGTTTTAGCTAATTCATCTGTTTCTGAATTGGACAATTCAGGCACCCTTGATTTAGCTAACCAAGGATCTCTGCCTCCTTCCTCCATCTATTCTAATTAAATCAAAAACCCTCTGCTGTTTGTCACCTTCCTAAAGCCAATATAATGACCTCCATCTATTCATAGCTATTGTTTCCATCTATTCTAATTAAATCAAAAACCCTCTGCTGTCTATCACCTTCCTAAAGCCACTATAATGACCTGCATCTATTCATAGCTATTGTTTCCATGATTTGATTAGTACTAGCAAGAATACTTCCCTATTTATTTGTTGGCATCACTAGTTATATTAGTGTTTACTAATATATGCATCACTAGTCAAATCTTTAGATTTTCTATTGTGTTTTCACTGCGCAAGGATACAAACTGAATACATAGTTATAGTTGCATTCTTACTAATCGTTAAATTCGTTCCAAAACTAGAAGTCTTTGATATGCTACCAAGTAATATCTTGTTTAGCAGCAAGTTCTTGTAATCACCCTAACAAAGAGAGTATTTCTTTCACACAATAATTACCATGTAATTTCAATTTCAATTTCAATTTCAATTTTCATGTGTCATGCCTCTTTTACTTGACAATAATTACCTCCAAGCGTTGGATCATCGACTTCTTATCAGCATCGTGAACCTTATTCCACCTACAAATGCTCAAGTCTGGTAATTGCGTTCGAACCTCTATGCCAATCTTGGAGGCCAACTTAGAGGCTTGATCTCCCACTGGCGCACGGAAATGTTCAGGTACAGGAACCAACATCTTTCCATTTTTCTGGGCAATGCGTTGGGTTTGTATGCCGCGTGTTGGACCACGACCACGTCTGTCATGTGATGCTATAAGGACATAATGTTAATTGAGTTAATAAGTAAACAAATGCAAGTTAGACCTTAAATTAAATATAAGCAACTTTGCAAACTTACCGACACTACTAGATGCAGTCACCTCATGCACAGGTTGCACATTATGAGGTGGTAAGGGTTGGGTACCAATCTCTTGACGTGGGGGATCCATCCCTTCTTCTGGGGTGGGGGTTAATGGCCTCGAATGAGGCTGTAAACGTAACCCCGGTGGCATCTCCTGTTCCTGAAAAAACATAATCGAATAGTAAAGAAGATATTTAACACAGTTAAAATATATTTTAAAAAAGATATGATGTTTAAGATATATGAAGAAGATATTTAAATAGTAAAAGATACGTTCACACACAAATATAAAATAATGTATATAATACCTTGCGATAAAAGGAACCCAATGACTCATTATCACTATCGTTCTCACTCTCTGACGGATTATACTCATCATCATCATCTACCTCAACCCTAATTTTCTTTTCCTTTGAATTTGCACATTTGGGCTGAACCACACTCATCAAAGAATTTGTAATATTCTTCACTCCAAGATTGTTCATTACCTCGTAGTTCTTCTTGATTCGCTTATTTCTTTGTTTCTCATATTCTGTTAGCTTCTTAGTTCTCAAATCACCTGGTTTCAGCCATTGTGTTTTTCCTTCGACCATTTTCTACAACTATATAACATAATTCAACTTTAATTAGAAAATATAGACAATATAATTATTCACCATTAAATAAAAGAAGAAAAACATAATCCCAATGTTTCGAATTGTAATGCATATATTTTAACTCCAAATATTTCATAACAAGGAAGTTCCAATCCCTTGAATTAATATTTCACGCAAAAATTTTAAATCATATTGTAGAGTAGTGAAGGTTTCCATGGAAAAAAAATCAAGACAAGAGATCCTCTTCTTAAAAGAGGTGATGTTCCTGTATTGCATATATTTTAAATCCAATTAGGATTGATGATCATTGATGCTTAACATAATTATGTCTTGCATTAATCATATATTACATTTGATTTTCTAATTGTTATACATTATGCAATATTGCAAATTCTAAAAATATTTTTTCATAGACATCCTAACCATATTTGTATTTTTATTTATTTTTTGCTATATCGATGTATAGAATTTTATTACTTTTTAACTAAACTTGAATTTGAAATAGAATAAATATGCACTTATTTTCATTTTTTTGTTTTGAAAAACAGCTTAGATATGGTAGTGAGTATGCAGAGAAACCTTACAACAGTGGCAGTAATAGTACAAAGACACCATGGCCATGATCATATGTTGAATGAAGAATATGGAAGCTATATTTATCCTACAAATGAGTCACCTTCTATCTCCTATAACAATAAGGCAAAGTAGCAGCAGCTCAGGCAGAGCAGCAGCAGCTCCATAATTCTAAACTATCAAGTTGCTCCATAATTCTAAACAATGGGATCTTTTGATAAGGCAGAGTAGCAGTGTAGCCACAGGCAGAGCAGCAGCAGCAACCACAGCAGTCAGCTGCAGCCAAGGCCAAAGTCCACAGACACAGCAGCAAACAGCAGCCAGTTGTAGCCCAGATCACAGTCCACAGACAGAGTAGCTAATACTACAGCAGCTGCAGCTGACTGCTGTATCGCTCACAAACTCATACGCTTATAACAATTTGAATCTAAATAATCATAACCTAAGAGACAAAGTGTAACAAGTTGAACCTTCAAATATTACTTAAAAGTTTTATGATCAACTCCTCTGATGATTTATTGCGTTTTTTTTTTTTAATTAACTTCACTTATCAATAAAAAAAATCATTATTGTTGATATATGGTTGTGGAAGAACATGGGCTTTTGAGCTTTGCAAGATTTCAAATTTGAAGCAGCCTTGAAGAGTTTTAAAATAAAGTAAAAAGACAAGTTTTTAATATATACATACTATGTTACCAGAAACATATTATAACTTTAAAAATGGGTAAATTCACTTGTGATATTGGTATTTTATATCAAGTCCTATTTTTTTCTTTAGCCTTTTAATTATGATAACAAAGTCTGCTACATATTCACCCAGTTATTAAGAAGTTAACGAAAATTAACCACGTGGCGATCATGAGCAATTACCAAGTGGCTATTTCGGCCAATTTCTTAAACGAAGACTAATGGATAGGAGTTAAGAATTCTTTGTTCATAAATCTCTCCGTCCCAAAATACTCACTTTTATTGGATCAAGTGAGAATTTTAAAATATAAAAATCTCATAATATGTTTCAACAATTATCAGTAGTGGTTTGAAAATTGACTATTTTAATTGACTTTTTACAAAAAGATGCACAAAAAAAATATAATAATTTATAATGATTTTTTAACTTTTACACTAAATATATTCCCAATCGAGTCCTCAGTGTTTTGGGAATAGAGGATTCAAAGAGATTGATACAAAGGTTCTGTGCGTTTCCACAAAGGAGGTTCCTAGTCACATGTAATTTTTTTTTTAGGTACATCGGAAAGTTCCTAGTCACATGTAATAGAAACCATATTGTCCATTGAAACCAAGCTGGTGACAACTTCAAGGATCTCCTTCTTCACCATTCAAAGGATTGAAAAATTTATTAGTATATAGGTTGACTTTTACTAACCAATACACGTTTGCTAGGGTTAAAAAGCAGAGAAATTCATCTAAATTTCTGATTTTCAAATGCTTAGTTGCCAGCAAAAGACGAAAAATTATTTTCCTTGAAACTTGTTTCAAAAAAATCTTCCATTTCCAAGTTTGAACCTTACCCTAAAGCCAATGCAAGCCCTCAAAGTCAAATTTAAAATATTTACGAACTAGCAAGACAAAGAAAATAAGAACAATATGAAAAAGTGAATAATTTTTCTAAATTTTATTACTGAAAAAGAACTTAATAGTTGTAAAATCTTAAATTTCAATTTATAACAAACAATGCTTGGTGTAAGTCACAAT